AATCATGTGCAGCTTCTAGGACACCAAAGGCAGGTCTCTGTAGCAATCACCTTCTTGTCTTTTGTTGTCTAGACTGTGAAGCACCCTGTGTGTGTACAGCACCTGCCGTCTGTGAAGTACGCCCGCTGCTTTCTCTCAAAGCTCATCAAAAAGGTCAATGATGGGCAGTGGCTGCTGGGGCCGGGCCACATAGGGGAACACAGAGGTCCAGAGCTCTGCCAGGTTCCAGCAGCCCCACCTCTCTGCCCTTTGCTTGCTCCATAAGCCCCTGGGGCAGGAGGCTGCTGGTGGGGTTTGATGGGAGGGCAGGGTTGGGACAGGGTAGGAGAGTGGCCAGGGCTCTCGGCAGCAGCTTCATCTCCTAGACTCAGGTTCTCCTTCCTACCAGACATCCCTGCCACTGCATGAAGGATGGCTCCCCGTCCCCCCCACTACCAGACATTTTCTGGCTGGCCCACACACGCCTGCTGGAGTTTACACAGTGTCTTCCCATCCTCTGCAAGATGCTTTTGGAGGACAGGTCCAGACCTGCTCCATGCCACTCTAGACTGCTGTGGAGAGCAGCAGCAGCAAGCCAGCTCCAGTCAGCCCCTGAAGCCGGCAGCTGCACAAGAGGCTTAGCAAAGGTGTGATCCATCTTCTGCACCACCCTGGCCCCAAGCCTCACCACACCAGTGCCTCTGTAGGCCCTGGCAGCACCAGGAGAAACAGGGCTCTGAGGCCAGTTGAAGCCATGCCTCAATGCCACCAAAAAGCAGCTTGAAAGCTGCATTGGGAGCCTGGGACTCACCTGAACACATCATATAAGGACAGTAGCACCTCTGCTAGGCCATGTGGCTCTCTCCTGGACTCTGCCTGCTGACCTAGGCCTTGCCTGCTCTAACCTGCTCCACACCTCTCCTTGAGGCACCCCACCAGCGCACTTTTAATTTTGCTAATTTTAATTCTAAGTTGTTCATATGCTAGCTTACCTCCTACTCCAAAATTTCCCCTCTAAATCTGGTAAAAATCAGGCTAGAACCAAGGCTCAGCAGCAGAATACCAACCCAGCATGCACAAGGTCCCGGGTTCCATGCCCAGCACCATGAATGCTGTGAAAGCCATCCAGTCCTGTTCACAGAGCAGATAGAAGTGAGGGAGTGGTTATTTACAAGGATCAGTGTAGCCCTCTCAGTTAAAGCTTACTGTCTGTTCCCAGCATGAAGCTGTGCCCACAGAGCCTTTGGATGCACTGTATGAGGCGCTGGCAGAGGTCCTGATGGCCAAAGAGTCCGCCCAGTGCCACCGGAGCTATTTGCTGGTATGAGACATGCATGTTATTGTGTTGTGCCCACCCCCACCCATCACACACACACTCTTGTCTGTGATTGGTCATTCTAAAGTGTTGGATGAAGGGGGATCACACACAGCCTGGGACTTAGACCGGCTCCTTTCGCTCAGCACAGTATCCTTGAGATCACCCATATGTATTTCTGGGTGTAGCAAGTTTATTCCTTTTCATTGTTGAGTACATTCCAGCATAGACATAGCACATTCTGCTCAGCCACTCAGTTGCTGTGGTTTAGGACCCACCAGTAATACTCAGATAGCTTTGTTCGTTCTTCTTCCTGTCTCTGCAGCCTTCGGGAGACTCAGTCACACTCTCTGAGAGCACAGCCATCGTGTCCAATGGCACCACAGGCTTGGTTACGTGGGATGCTGCTCTCTACCTGGCAGAGTGGGCCATCAAGAACCCAGCAGCCTTCACTGACAGGTGACCTTGGGGCACAGGGCAGGGCACTAAGGCAGGCTGGTGCAGCTGTGACCCATGGTCTCCATCTCCCACTCAGGACTGTCCTGGAGCTCGGCAGTGGAGCTGGCCTCACAGGCCTGGCCATTTGCAAGGCGTGCCACCCCAGAGCATTCATCTTCAGCGACTGTCACGGCCAAGTGCTTGAGCAGCTCCGTGGAAATGTGCTCCTCAACGGCTTCTCCTTAGAGCTGTACACCCCCACTGACCCAAGCAGCCCAAAGGTGACAGTGGCCGAGCTGGACTGGGACGAGGCAACAGCCGCTCAGCTCTCTGCCTTCCAGGCAGATGTCGTCATTGCAGCAGGTAATGCCCCAGCAGCAGCACTCACTCAGGCAGGAAGAAGCAATGAGTGCTGCAGGCAGGGACAAGCAGGGCCCCAGAGGTCTCCCGGTGATGTCACAGCACACACTCTGTGTGTCCCTCTGTGGGGACAGCTGCTCTCATTGCTGTGTATGAACAGCCAGCTGTCCCAGAAGACTTAAGATGAGCAGGACAGTTGTCAGGGCAGCACACTGGCCTGCCCCAGAGTCCCGATGCCACCCATCTCCTTCCCTGGACCCACCCACCGCACCTAGACTGTGCCTTCCACTGCTGGTGACAAACAGCCACCCTGCAGCGTTAGGTGGGACAGACCAGCCACGCAGCCTCTGGTCTTCCCAGGCCCACATCCAGCTTCTCCACCCGTTAATAACACCATCCTGGGTCATGTTTAAATGGAGTGACAGAGACCAATTCAGGGTACCGGAGCTGAGGGGCCCTGCCAGTGTCTATGATGGCTCCGTGCAGATATGCCAAGGATTCACTATCATCAGTGTGCCATGTGGCTAGCCTTGGCTCTCCCCACCAGTACATCTGGGTCCCAGATCCCTATCCTGTGTCTTTCAGAGATGGCAAAAGAGCATGGAGTCTTTTGAGAGAAAACAGTGCTTGCCTGGGCCACCAAAGATCCTTCCTAGAGGTCACCAGAAACATGGCACATCCCACAGTGCAGCTGACACAGGTCCCCCCAAAAGGCCCAAAGCCAGTCACTAGCGGATGAGCAAGGGACAGAGAACTGATGTTGCCATGGGGGTGGGGGTCCACTGTAGAGGTTTTCAGACTCCCTCCCTTTCACCTGGGGCATCTTCCTATGGAACAGCACAAGTCTTACCACCACCACTCAACACCATGGGTCCTCACCCCATGCAGAGTCGGTCCAGCCCCACACCCTCGCTCTGGGTGCAGATCCTAACAGGAGGCCCTTTCAGTAACAGCCTTTCCGTTGTAGATGTGCTATACTGCGGGGAAGTGACACTGTCATTGGTCAGGGTCCTGAAGATGCTCAGCGCCTGCCAGAGGAAGAGTGCTCCTGTCGTCTACGTGGCCTATACCATCCGCAGCCAAGACACGGGCAAGCTGTTCATCACAGAGCTGGGTCAGTTCTCAACCTGTGGGCCACCATTCTGTCCCTAGGAGGATTTAAAAACTGGGCTGACATTGGCTTTGCTCCTCGGCACCCATCCTTATCTGTTCTGTGGAGGTATCCACCAGAGGCATAGCCTGGCCAGCAGAGGCAATGAGCAGTTTGGGTATTCTGCAACTAGAAGAGAAGCTGGGGGTACTTTAGGAAGGGGATAAGAGCCCCACCATCTGCAGAGCCCCCAGATGGCAGTGCTGTGAGCCCTGTCTGTCCTCCAGTCTGACACTCACCAGTCATCAGCACCTGAGATGGCTGTATCATCATCCGACCTCACCTGTAGACACTAAGGCACTCAGATCAAAGCTGTCCACACTCACTTGCCACAGCATCTGCGGACAGACTGACATAGACTCCCTCATTCAGCAGATCAAAACAATCAGGTGAGTGCTCCCAGAACCCACTGGAAGCACTGAGGGCCCTGATGTCCTTTGGATTCATGTATGTACGTACATACGTATGTACATACACACACACAATGCCTGCAATCTATCTACCCTAAGAAACACCCTGATTTCAATAACTATCTTTATGGGGAACAGGGCACTTAGCTCAGTGGTAGAGTACTTCCTACTATGTGCACAGCTGGATTCCATCCATAAGATTTGTAAAAATTAGAGCTGGGAGGAATTTGTAGTGTGCCAGCTTTGTTTGCTATGCTCAGGTGGTGGGGTTATAGAACTGCGCATATTTTTATGCCTGTGTTGCCCTGTCCTTTAAATTACTAGCTTTACTCATAACAGAAGTGTAGTTAAGAGGCCATATTGGCCCACAGTCTTGCAGGCCCCATGAAACCAGGCAGCTGCAGTTGGCTTATCACTCCTCTGCCTGTGCCAACCAACAGGGCAGACAGGTGCAGAGGGTAGGGCACCCATCGGGTATGACAGGAGAGGGCCACACTTGTGGTACTGTTTACACCTTGCCTTCAGGCTGGAGAGAGAGAGCAGTAGGCAAACACGCTCATGGCACAAACCTGAAGCCCTGAGTCTGAATCCCCAGCACCCATGTGAAAAGGTGGGTTGTCAGCCGGGAGGTGGTGGCGCACACCTTTAATCCCAGCACTTGGGAGGCAGAGACAGACAGATCTCTGTGAGTTTGAGGCCATCCTGATCTATAGAGTGAGTTCCAGAACAGCCAGGGCTACACAGAGAAACCCTGTCTTGGAAAAAAAAAAAGTTGGGTTGTGGCCACAACGCCTGTCACTCTAGCACTGTTGGGGGCAGAGACAGATTTGCTGGGGCTTGAGGGAAAAGGTGGGAAATGGTAGAGCAGAACCCTTGCCATCCTCCTTTAGACTGAGCATGCCCCCCCAGACCCTCAGGGCACCTGCATGGGTCTGGAAACGTGTGGCCCAAGCAGATCAGCTCGGATGCACACCTGTGTCAACAGCCCTGCACTAATAGATTAGCTTCCTGTCCCCAACACTGCCCTCCTGAGATCTCTGTACTCTGTCCAGAGCACGCAGGGATCTACTGGGAAGAGGTGCCTCCTCATGCCGGCCAACTGTTCCCTTATGAAGAGCACTCGGCCATCGTAATCCTGAAGCTCGTGCTGAATGGTCGCCACAGTGTTGGAAGGTGATTGGAAAAATGAGATCGCTGTCATGGGAAGAGTCCACGAGAAAGGTGAAAAGGCTTTTGTTGGGCAGGAATGTTAAATAACAAACCACAAATGTACAGTAAGCACAGGCTTTGAGTGCTGGTGCCTGTCCTCAGCAGCTCATCTGGAATGGACACAGGCTCAGGGCAAGCATTCCCTTTGCACCAATAAAAACATGAATTTATCAAGTATGATTGTCCTGCCAGACAGCTCAGGCCTTGAACACACGATATCCCAGAGCTCATGGCAGCCCAGCAGAACCAGAACACAGGAATGTGAGAGTCTGGACACAAAAACCAGGGACTAAGAGGTTGACAGGGTCACCAGAGAGAAGAGCTTCTCAAGAGCCAGCGAATGAAGCAGCTGCCAGATCATCCATTTCCCTTCTGCGTCCTCTGCCGTCCTTAGGCTTTTGACCACTAGGGGGCACTCAAAAGCCCACCAGGGACAAAGTGGAGCAGGTGATGGCTGGGAAGGGCTGGTGGTCCGGGAGGGATGGAGCGGGGACCTCATTCCACGCCCTGAGGACAGAGCCCTAGCCTCTGGCCTGGAGGTCACTGTGAGTGACCAAAGGGAGCACAGTCCGCTGCCAGCTCTCGTCCCACCGCAGTTGCTCCGACTCCCGGAGTTCTTTCCGGAACTGGTTTAGCTTTCCAGCAGGGTCGGGAAACTTTGAGAAAAGCATCTATAGGAAAAGGAAGACTGGAACTCAGCTCCCTGCCCACCCTGCCCCATGTCAGGTCTGGCTTGCTCATGTCCAGCTGTGCCCCTCCCATCACTAGACACTTGAGGGGTCAACATTAGTTTTATAAGGACAAATATACCTTCTGCAGAAACTCCTGTGGCCCCTAAAAAGGCAGTACAGCTCCCATCTTTACAAAAGGAGGCAGGAGTGTATGTTTGTACCTGGCTCTTCTAGCCCTTGGCGCCCAGGCTGAGAAGCTATCTTGGGGGCCTCGGCTTCCTTCCTCCACCTCTCCTCTACATCCCAGAGTCCCACCACAGGCGTCCTTGTGTGGGAAGCAGAGATCGGGGAGCTGGGTCAGGCCCCACAGGAGAAGCCCACTACCTGCAGCTGGGCTGCCAGCTCCTCCGCGTCCTTGAAGACCAGGCCATTCTCTCCGTGTCTTACGAGCTCATGCAAACTGCAGAGAGAACAAGGAAAAGAAAGGGAGCCCAGCTGGGCCACCACTACTCCCTCAGGTGAAGCCAACACCAAGAATGGCAGGTTGGCCTCAGTGTTCTGAGATCGAGCATTTGGACAGAAAAGCCTACAAGAGCACATGTCAAAACAAAAGAATGATTTGGAGACAGGAAGGTGGCCTTTCTGTGCCAAGATGGTTTCTGTGTTTTTTCTCCACTCCAGCCTGAGAGCTAGGGCCCCAGCATTTGGCTCTACACATTAAGAGTAGCTTTCAGAGTCGTTGGGAGATTTGATCCTGACAAATCCTGAGCTTGGCTCACACAAGGGTTTCACATCCAAAGGCTGGTGGTCCCTAGCTATCAAGCTGCAACCTCCATGCCCTGGCCAGGGAAAGTGGAGTCCCAGAACTGCATTGGTATGGACGATTCCCATCCAACTAAGAGAGATCAGCCACAGGACAGAGAGATGTAAACCAGTCAACTGCAGGCAGCTCTGGCCACCTTTCCCTTCTCACAGCATGAGCCTGAGTAGAATGCTAACCATGAACAAACTCCAGCCACCCCCATCCTCTATCTGTGCAGGACTCATTTCTGGAGCCCCTTTTATATCCACAGATGCTCAAGTCCCTTATGTAAACTGCTTTGCATATGGTCACATGAACCCTACTCTATGCTTCACATCCTCTAGATGACTTCTAACATCCCAGCAATGGAACAAGGATAAGAAAGCTACATGTTGATACAGACACAATCAACATACTCCGTGCTACAGTTTTCCCGAGACAGAAACTCACTGTGTAGCACAGGCTGGCTTCAAGTTCAGAGATCCTCTTGCCTCTGCCTCCAGATTGCAGGAATGTACTAATATTTCCAACATTCTAACTACATTTTACAACTGGGTGACTAGCATGGTATGGATGTGCCAAGCTGACTGTCCTTCCCTAGGGCTCAGCCCAACCACAGGACAGGGTCCCCAGCTGCTGATCTAGAATATGCCCCAGGTAAGGTTCAATATCCACTCCTACCACTTGAAGCTCACGGCACACACAGGCAAGCAGCACCCAAACATGTCCACCACCTTCATGGGCAGGTCCAGACCACTGGAAGACATGTGCAGACAGACACCCAGGTCCGCTGACCCTGCAGAGACAGTCCAAACACTAGGACACATTCTCCCAGGTCTATGTAGCAACCCCTAGACAAGAAGTGGAAATCAGAAGCTGTCCCTGTGAGACTGTCCCCAAATACAAATGGTATAAGCTGACCAAGGAGCCAGGCAGCCTGACCAGAGGCAAAAACATGGTTGACCACCAGGTCCTGTCTCACACTGCCTAGTGATTAAAAATTGTGTTTGTTTTTACTTGTATTGATTTATTGTTTCTACTTAGCTATAATTCATTTTCAAAGAGAAAATTCCCAGGCAGTCACTCTGATCGGATTCAACTAGCTTGGCTCAGTAGGTGAAGGTGTTTGCTCCCAAGCCTGACAAACTGGACCATCCCTGCACCCCACAGTGGAGGGAGAGAGCCAACTCCTCTAAGTTAAAAAAAAAAGAAAAAAAGAAAAAAAAAAATAACAGGCAGTGGTGACACACGCCTTTAATCCCAGCACTTGGGAAATGGAGGCAGGTGGATCTCTGAGTTCAAGGGCAGCCTGGTCTACAGAGCAAGATCCAGGACAACCAAGGTTACACAGGGAAACCCTGTCTCAAAAAAACAAAAAACAAAAAACCCACCACCAACAACAACAACAAAGCGCAGGCAGAGTGGTGCACGCCTGTAATCCCAGCACTCAGGGCTGAGGCATGAGGCTCTGATGCAAACTCAAGGCTACCCTAGCTACAAAGATCCTGTCTCAAATATTACAGGGCAAAAGAAGAGGCTGGGAACATCTTCTTCCCTGTCCGCCCTTGTAGGACAGTGTAGTGTGGCCGTGTGCCCCTGAAGCCTGCCCTCTCACCTAGAAGCAGCGGATAGTCCTCAGCCTCCAGCCATGGGGTGCAGAACTGGACATGCTGGAGGTGCTTCTGCCCGATGAGGTGGCGGTAGTGCTCCCTGAGAGGCCCCTTCCCTACACAGAGAAGAAAAGTCACTAACATTGCCACACTCCATCACGGCCACTGGGCAGGTCCTGCTGCTCCACCCGACACTTGACAACCCTTTCCCGAGACCAGAACCCCAGCGGCCCCATCAGGCCCTGACATCCCATGGCCAAGACACTAAGCACACCCCAGCTAGCAGGCACAGGGCTGTGGGTGGTGAGGGGGGGGGGTCTAAGATAAATGCTAGGGTGCCAGCAAGATAGACAGAATCTCCACCTACACCAAGTGATGCAGGGACTTTCCTTAGCATGCAGGGAACCCCTGGGAACCTGGCTGGGAGAGAGGAGGAGGTGGCTGCCTAACCCTGTGACTGCTCAGAGGGCACACTGCTTCTAAACTACAGAAGCTGGAAATGCACTGGAAAGGGGAGGGGGGAGTTTGATCTAAGTAGTACCATCCAGACTCAAATCTGAACTTTTAAGTCCTTTCTGAGCCTCGGGTTCCTTATTATCCAGTGGATGTAGAAACTCGACCCAGGAACCTGGTCATACAGGCCTGTCCCAGCTACTCGGGAAGCTGAGGCAGGTTAGCATATCAAGGCTTGCCTGGACTACAGAGTAGGTTCAAGGCCAGCCTAGACAACTTATAAGACCCTCTCTCTACACATAGAAAGATAAAAGACAGCTAGAGATGTAGCTCAGTAGTAGAGCACTTGCCTAGCTTGGGCAAGGTCTTGGGGAGAAAGGGAGAAATTACCCTGGAGAACTGAGGTGATGACTAGTGAGACCGTACCCTACAGAGGTGTTCAGTAAATGCCATATGTCCATTCTTCTGCTACCCTCCACCCTTCTAAACAATATGACAAGGTGTTCCCACCAGTACCTGTTATCACACAGACTAGGGAAGGAAGGCTGTCTCCACTCAGTGCTAGTTGTTCAAACTCTGGAAAAAAACACACACACCAAGCAGGAGAAAATAAGATGTAAGCAGAGTGGGGAGCTGCTCCCTGGGGGTTGCTAGACTCCAGATACATTCAGACGGAGGGTCAGTGACCATGTAAGGGCCACAGGCTTCCCATGCCCTCCCCCACTGTCCCAAGCTGCCCACCCGTGACACCAGGGGCACAAATGACAGGCTGCCACAAAAGGCCAGTAAGGGCCTCGCAGCAGCCCGACAAGCTCCGAGCTGCAAATGCAGCCACACACCTACTTTCTAGTGCTCTCAGCAGGATGGAGAAGTCCTCGTCCTCTATGGGGAGAAAAGAAGAGGGGTCATAGGCTGCCTCCCAAACTTCCCACCCCACTCACACACCCATCCCCAGATCCCGAGACAAGCTGGGCACACCCCCCAGGAGCTGAGGGAGGCAGACCTGTCCAGCTGGTGCTGCTCACAAGCAGTGCCGGCCGCCCGTGCAGACTCCTCACCACCCCGCTCCGACAGTCCCTCTCAGTGAAGGCAGACCTCTCCATGCCGGGCTCCGAGGGCTCTGAGCTGAAGGAGCAGAGGAGAGAGGTGAGATACCAGGCCCTGGCTCAGGAGCAGAGCCGCAGGCAGGCCGCAGGCTCCCAGCCATCCGGCACCCTCTGACCTCACAGGTCCTCGTGGCTGGCACTGAGGCTACAGGAGCAGCACCCACTCCACCACCCAGTGCCACCTCCACGGGCCCCACTCTACCTGCTCAGCATCCCAGTGAGCAGGTGCTGACCCACCTCCCAGGAGCACACAGAGGACATGGGCAAAACTAACAGGGGCCTCCAACCCCCCAGTGAGACACCCAGAAGACACCAGGTCCCCCTTCCCTACAAGAGCCGACTGGCAGCAGGCCGAGGTGGCACAATGCTCAGCAGGCGGTTTCTTAAAGGGCCAGAGAGTAAATGCTGAATTCAGGCTTTGTGGGCTCTTGTGAACCTAGCTCCACTGCTACAGTCTGAGAGCAACCAATGGTTTAAGGTAAGATAAGGGCAAGCCTCAAACTTGCAATCCTCCTGCCTCAGCCTCCCAAGGGCTGGGATTGCAGACATTCACCACCACCCCAGGCTTCCAGCAGCTACTGTCAACACAGGTGAATGGGTGGACTGTCCCACAGAACCCCATTACAGCAACAGGAGGCAGGCCGCAGCATTAGTCCGCTGCCCCGGATAAGAGGATGCACGGGTCTCCAGAAGAGGACAGCGGAGAGGGAAGACGTACCAGCTCTGGAAAGCAGAGTATGTGCGGCTCAGCTTCATGAAGAGCTCATGCTGCAGGTCCAGGGGCGTCTCCTTAAAGAAAGATGCCGGCTTGTCGTAGACGGTCACAGCCCTGGCGTGAGATGGAAGTGGGCAGAGAAAACCTAAGCAACAGGACACAGCAGGATCCCAAACGCAAGGGAGCGTGGGAATCCCAGAGACAAGAAACTTCCGGATTACTTAGAATAGTGCATATATTTAGGACCAAAATGTCCTAGGCCACACAGCTGGGAGGGAAAGAAAGCCTACTGACTCCTCCCTTGGCTTCTCAGACAGTAACTATTTCCCTGGGCGTGACCACTTCAACACAACAGAGCAGGTGCTGCAGCTCTCAAAACACATGGGCTGATGGGCATCCCAAGCCCTGCATACCTGATACGCCAGTTCTCTGCCAGGTCCTCCCGCATTGCATTGGTCACACACAGGTTCAGGTGGGACAGGCGCCCAAAGAACTTCTCGTACCTACAAAGATGTCTTGGGGATCAGCGGTTAGCCGTGGGATAAGCCTAGATGCCACTCCAACCTCCATATGGCTTGATAGCCATGGGTCGTGAAAAGGCTGTAGAACTAAGGCCCTGAGCCTGTCAGGGTGTGCCATGAGCTCCCCATACAGTTACTTTCCACACCTTCCTTCCCTGTCACTGTTCAGCTAACACACAGTCACTGTAACCACAAATCCAGCCTCATACAATAGAGGGGAAATTGAGAAATGGCCACTTAACCACATCTCAGCCACCCTGGACCAGCAGCCTGAGGCTCTCTCACTGTGGTACGAAGGAGTTGAGGCTTTGTCCCAAAGAATGAGAAGAGGAAGTCAAGGTAACTAAGCTGCAGGCTGGGAGTGTGGCACAGCTGGCAGAGTGCTTGCCTGGCAAGTTCAAGGCCCTGTTCCATCTCAAGATCTACAAAAATGGGGCATCGTGGTGCATGCCCATCCAAACACTCAAGAGAAAAAGGCAGGAGGATCAGAAGTTCAAGGTCATCCTGTGATACACAGGGAGTCTGAGGCCAGCCTGGGATAGACACTGTTTCATATATGTATGAATGTCTAAGGATGTAGTTCAGTTGGTTGAGTGCTTGCCTGTAATGCTTCAGAGTCCTGGATTCCATCCCCAGCACATCGTAAAATAAGTGTGGTAGTAAACAACGATAATCCTAGCACTTGAGAGGTAGATCAAGGCCAGCCTGCAATAAATGAGACTCAAAAAACAAATTTAGGGGCCAGACAGCACTGGCTGCTCTTCCAGAGGACCAGGGTTCGAGTCTCTGCATCCACACGGCAGCTCACAACTATCTATAACTCCAGTGCCAGGGGATCTGATGCCGTCTTCTGGTCTCCCCAGGTACCAGATAAACACATGGTACACAGACAAACATTCAGGAAAAATATCCATATATAAGATAAATTAAATTTTTAAAATAAAAATAAATCAGAAAAAAATTAATTACAAAAAAAATACATAAAAGTAGGATTACCAGCTGAGCATGGTGACACTAGCTTTAAACCCCAGCACTCAGGAGGCAGAGGCAGGCAGAGCTTTGAGTTCGAGACCAGCCTGAGCTACAAAGGGAGTTCCAGGACAGCCAAGTCTACACAGAGAAACTCTGTCTCAGTGAAGAAAAAAAAAAGGATTACTAAACTGGGTGTGGTGGAGTATGCCTAAAATCCCAGAGTGTAAGCAGCTGAAGCAAGAGGACCAACACAAACTCAAAGCCAGTCTGGGCGACAGACTGAAAAAGATCACTAGCTACCACCATAGCACCTCTGCAGCCTTTTCCTCCCTCCAGACATGGAGAAGGCTCAGGGCCGGTTCCTGACTTACTTCCTGGGTGGCAAGAGACAACATCACTCTCAGCCCACTCTCCTAACCGTACAGTGCACCATAACCAGGGATGATGGAGACAGATGGGAGACACAGGGGCCTGGCCTGGCGCCTGGCCTGAAGCTTGTGCTGTGTGACAGTCAGGAGCTGCCTGGGCTGCTGGTCAACAATGAACATCAGTCCCGTAGGGAAAGGGCACAGCTAGCTGACCCCCAGAGCTGGAAGCACACCATGAGAGGGACAACCAGGGCCAGAGCAGAACCAGGGACCCTGCTCCAGATCCAGCCTGCTCCCCCAGGCCCTTCTCTTCCGCTCACTCTACCGAGGACTCGGGGAACCACCCGCACCCTCTCACCATTTGGCCAGCAGCACGATGGGGTGTTGGGGGCCATGCACCAAGCCCATGATGGAATAGCCATAGTTGTGCCAGTCGATGACCAGTCTGCTCCCACAGATGCAGCCCACCAACCAGCAGACGGCAATGGCAGGCAGGCCCGGGGGGTTCTAGGAAAGAGAGACTTGGAGGCAGTGGAGGAAGCACAGGCCATGGCCGTGTAGCCAGATTGGAGAGGAGACCACACAGCAAAGAGGATGTGGCCTGTGAGGTTTCATCAGCCAACAGGCAGAAGGAAGACCCTCTCCACCATCAGAAGAAAGTAAGAAAAACTGCCCAATCTGAAAGCCCCAATCATCAACAATCAAGAGCACCTGAGCTAAGGAGAAGACTCAGGAGGTAAAGGGTTTGACACAAGGGCGTGAGGACCTGCATTCACCCCAGACCCCATATAAAGCTGGGCATGGTGTCTCACGATAGTAACCCCACGATTCCTCCAGCAAGACAGATGGAAGGCAGCAGACACCATGGGAGGTCATGGGCAAGCGAGCCTAGAATAGACAGTGGAGAACAGAGAACCCCCATCTCAAACAAGGAAGGACCTCTACGGTTGTCCTCTGACCTCCACAACACACATGCTATGTACACACTCAAGCCCACATGGACACACATGCACACGCGCGCGCACACACCGAGATAAAATACAAACTTAGGGAAAAGTAAAAATAGGAACACAAAGTGTTGTCATTTAGTGCTGGTCATCAAAATGCAAGCCCTAGAAAACGCCAAATGGGCACCCCAAAGGCCGAGGTACACTCTGCGGCCACCAAGTTACACTAAACATTTTAAACATGCAGGAAATTTGACAAAGAAGTCTTCTGCCAAGAATTTCTCCGAAGAAAGAAACTGGACATGAGTCACAGATGTGTATACCCTATACTCTCACCTGAGCCATATGTAAAGGTTACAAAAAAAAAAAAAAAAAAAAAAGAATAGGAAGGCCAGGTGTAGTGGCACATACCTTTAATCCCAGCACTCAGGAGACAGAGGCAGGCAGAGCTCTATGAGTCTGAGGCCAGCCTGGTCTACAGAGTAAGTTCTGGGACAGGCACCAAAACTACACAGAGAAACCCTGTCTCAAAAAACCAAAACAGAAAAGCTACTTCTAGACATTCAAACTGATGCTAGGGGGGGGAGGGGGGGGTGAAGAAGAGATAGCTCAGCAGGTAAAAGCCGAGTTCTATGCCCAGAACCCACGTAAAGGTAGAAAGAGAGAACCCACTCCATAAGTTGTCCCCCCGACTTCTACAAGTATTCTGCAGCATGTATCCCCAACCATGCCCCAACAAAAAGTGAGTTAAAAACGTAACTATGTAGGCTTAAACCTTGACTCATCACTTCCTAGCTAGACGTCACTTCCCAGCCATACACTAGTAAGTTTACTTACAGGACCTCTCTGTCTAGGTCTCCGCATCTCTAAGCTGTAATATGAGAACCTACAGCACAGGGCTCCTGAGGGCATTAAAAGGGCAATACATCAAGATACCAACGGGTACTACACATACAACAGACACACTATAAATCCTACTCAGGCTTTGGGGTTTTAATATTTATTTTTATTTATGTAAGTGGTTGCCTACATGTATGTATGTGTACCACCTGCATGCCTAGTGACTGCAGAGGCCAGGAGAGGGTATGGATCCCCTGGAACTTGAGTTACAGACAGTTGTAAGCCTCTATTGTAAATGCTGGGAACTAAACCTGGGTCCTCTGCAAGAATGGGAAGCGATCTGCAGTGCTGAGCCACCTCTCCAGCACTCCACACACTCATGCTTATTTCTTTTTCAATATTATTGTATTTATTATTTGACAATTTTATGACTGTATATATAATGTATTTTTGATCACTCTCCCCTTACCCTTTCTTAGCCTCTTCCCAACCTTTCAATAATCCCTCTGTACCTTTTTTCTTCCCAACTCGTCCCCCTCCTGTTTTCATGTCTTTTTGTTTCTTTAATGACTGAGTTTAACTGGAGTTGCTTGTATGCACACAGAGTGGGGCTACTTTCTGGAGCTTGGGCAATTTACTAGTGGTTACACTTCAGGAGAAAAATGACTCCCCTCCCCCAACAACCATTAACTGCCAACAGCTCCTCGGCTAGGGACAGCGCCCCTATGAACTCCTCCCCATCCATGCTGGAAGGTTGGCAGGCTTGATCTTGTGCTGGTGTACAGGTAACCACAGCTGCTGCAAGTTCATGAGGGCAACAGCCCTCCTTGTGTTCTGTATAGTTTATGCACACAGAAGTATGCAATATAGTAACTGGTGCATTTTGTGTATGGACTAGACATCAAATCCAGAACCTCACTGAGCCACACCCACAACCCAATCCATGCATGTTTAAAAGGCCAGCAAGTGAACTGCTAACAGTGGTTCCCACAGAAGGAGGCAGCAGCTGGTTCATACCTGGAGGAAGATGTAGGCTGCAGGGTCTGTGCACATCAACTTCCATAGCAAGTACACTGCCTGAAATACCACTTTGACTCCATACTGGAGAACTCGGGGTCCAGCTGCAAGTCAGAAAACATCCACCTCTACAACGGAGCTCTTGGCAGTGTGCTGGTCCCCTCATCTGCCCTCTGAACCACCTGCCCCAGTTAGGAACCTGGAACTGCCTGGTCCTACCTCCCAGACTCTGCAGCTCCGTCAGCTTCACAATCTGAATCCTGTCACTCTGCAAGAGCTCATCTCGAGGTTTGGAGTCTGCAAATGCAAATGTGCCCTTTAAGGTACCAAAAGTAGTTACAGCCAGCTGGATGTGCTCCTTCACATCTGTAATTTCAGTACTTGAAAGGATAAAGCAGGAGAGGGTGTTCAAGGCCAGCATATGCTACAAAGCAAGGCCGTGTGCCAAACAGATGAGGTGGGGAGGGTTAGTACCTATTGATACCTCTCTGGTTCCCAGTATGGAAAGTGAAGTCATTTTTCTACTAGAATGCCCTCAAAGGGCATTCATCATATCCACTCTTTAACTTAATGACTGGTGAGCAATAGGGACTCAATTAAATTGATGTAGACTCCTGGATGTCAAGAGTCTGGGTCAGTTCCCTCCACCCAAGGCCTGGGATAGCCCTCCACATAGGGACCAATAAGAGCTACTCCCACTTTCCATTAAATGGAGCTGAGCCACGCCTTAAGTTCGCAGATGCGTCCAATTTTAAGTGCCCAGAATGTGTGCAAGGATAGCTATGAATGTGCCTGACATGCTGGTAGAGTTCATATCGCTGTTTCCAAGGGTGGGACACCTGATGGGCTTGGTAGTGCACGTCTTTAATCGCAGAACTCTAAAGGCAGAGGCAGGTGAATCTCTGTGAATTCAAGGGCACTGTGGTCTACATAGCGAGGTCCAGGCCAGCTAGAGGCTGCTTAGTGAGACTGGACCCCTGCAAAACCATCAACATGGGGCATAATGAGGAAGTGGACACCTCTGCCTGCACCTTAGGGAACAAGAGAAACATCCCCAGGTAGAAAAGCTCGGCGCTGGGTGAGGAATTCAAAGAAACGCGACCCCTTAACTCAATGACAAGGCAGCAGGAGGAAGTAGTGACCAGCACTTAGGTCTCACACACCAGGATTTCAGCCTCAGCCTCTGCACTACCTAGGAGAATTAGGTGGGACCTTGCAACCGATCTCTTCGTAGTCCTCGCGTATGGTAAGCGGCGGCTGACACAAGAAGCAACGATCCAGGCCAGAATAGGCAGGAGAGGAGTACAGCCGCCCCTGCCTCGGCCTCAGAACAGAGCGAGCCAAGACTCCTGGCCGAGCATCCCTCCCAGGTCCCCGCCCGCCACTCACTGTAGAACCCCAGCAGCGTCACCGAGAAGCCGTTCTGGGCCAATGACAGCGCATGGTACTGCATGCGGGGGCTGCGGCCCACGTCGCCCAGCACCACGACAACCACGTGAGGGACCGCGCCCGCCCGCCGCCCACGCTTCCACGCGACCAGCAACAGCACCGGCAGCAGCAGCACCAAAGCCAGCAGCGCCACGCAGGACGCCGCCATCTTGGCCGGCCGGCCGGCGGCGAACACGTGACCCGACCAGCACGCCTCGCTGTGCGCAGCCGCAGACCCAGGCCCTGCCGTGGGAAGATGAGCTGCAGAGTAGGGGGCGGGGCCTTGGATAAGGCGGTGTCTGATGGAAAAGGAAAAGGGAGCTGGAAGGTAGGGGCGGGGCCTGAACGGAGGGGCGGGGCCTGGAAAGGATCCGAAGCCTTTGAGAAACTGCTTCAGGAGCCCAAGAATTAGTAGGACATATAGCCATGTCAAGTTCCCTGAACCGTGTTTTTCCCCTATGAAAGTAAAGCTGTTCCTTTATTAGGGTCTAAGAATTTCTTTTTCAGAACTCTAAGATAAATTTCAAACTATAATGATGATGTTTCCTGGTGAAAGACTACACTTCCCATCTTCCCTTGCAGACTACGAAGTCATCTCTACCCCTGTAAGAGATCATATCTCGTCTTCTTTGGGCATCTTGGCATATCCACACACGTGGATAACAAAAATATCCCCTCGCTAAGATCAGACCAAGCCTCTCTTTCCGCCTTCTGTCTCGCTACAGCTGCCTTTAATAATCTAACAAGTGAGATAAAAATTTGAACAAGAGGTGATGAGAAGTCTCTTCAGGTAAAGGTGCTTGCTGCCATGATAAGAGTTCGATCTCAGTAACCCTCACAATGGAAGGAGAGAACCTACTCCCTCTAATGTCCTCTGACCTCCGCACTCATACACTAAATAAATAAAAGTAATTTGGATGAATATCCTAGTCATGTTGAGGAAAGAGACCATTCCCTAAAGAGTGTATACATGAGATCTTGGCTACACATGAGAACTGATCTTTGTTGGTAGAAGGGAAGAGTCCACAGGCTGGTCATGCTCCATTTAACAGAGGTGCCTTCCAGTGGGAAAATTCGCTAAGCAAAATGCTTATCTCTTCATGTGTTAAGATGCATGCATATTGATTACAACATTTCAATATAAAAGAGTGGAGCCAGGCACGGATAGCTGAAACCCTAGCACTTTGGAGGAGAGCAGAAAGATAGGGAACTCTAGGTCATCCTCAGCTTCATAGGGAGTTCAAAACCAGTCTAGTCAGCTTAAGACCAGATCTCAAAAATATAAATAAGGGGCTGGAGAAATGGCTTGCCAGTTAAGAACTCTTGCTTGTAGTCATGAAGACAGGAGTTCAGATCCTCCATTGTGCATATGTCCCATGCTGTGAGGGGGCAGAGGCAGGATGATCACTAAGCTTATTGGCTTCCAACTTATAAGGAAAAACAGGAGCCTCAAGTTTAGGGAGAGAAAGAGCAGGCAAAGAGTTACAGAGGAAGACAGTCAGTACCCTCTTCCCCTAGTATATACACAGCGTGGGTACCCGTGAGCTCACACATGCATGCACACACACTCACATAGACATACACCAAAAAACATAAATAAATCTTTTTAAAATTAACTAAATAAATAAAATGAAAAACAGAAAGAAATAAACTAAGAAAAAATAGTAAAAACCATAGGTTTTATTGGCACATACTGGTTACACACAGTCAGACGTAGACTACATTTTATTATGACATATCTTTTTTATTTTGTGTGTATGAATGTGTTTGCCTGCATGTACATATGGGCATTGTGTTCCTAAAGAGGTCAGAAGAGGGTGCTGGAGTTACAGATGGTTGTGAACTGCTGCATATGTGACGAGAACCAAACCTGTGTTAACAGCTGAGCCGTCTCTCCAGCTCATTGTGACAGCTCTAAACATACATGTAGCACATTTAGATCTTAGGTAGTTTGAACAAAAATGGTCCCTACAGCCCCATAGGGAGTAGTACTGTTAGGAGGTGTGGCCTTGTCTGAGTAGGTGCAGCCTTGTTAGAGGAAGTGGTCACTGGGGGGTGGGCTTTGAGGTCTCAGATGCTCAAGCCAGGCCCAGAGTGGCAGTCACTTCCTGCTGCCTATGGATCCAGATGTGGAACTCTCGGCTCCTTCTCCAGCACCATGTCTGCCTGTGTGCTGCCATGGTTCCCACCATGATGATAATGGACTAAGCCTCTGAACTGTAAGCCAGCTTCAATTAAATGTTTTCCTTTATAAGAGTTGATGTGGTCATGGTGTCTCTTCACAGTGATTAAATCCTAAGACACTCATCATTTTTAATAGTTTCCTTTTTACTTTCTTATCTTTTTGCCCCTAGATTCCAAGTAGAAGAGAAAGTGCTACTTATCTTTCTGAGTCTGGATTATTTTGCTTAACATAATCCCCGTTCCATCCAATTTCTTGCAAATGACATAATTTCACTATTCTTTATGACTGAATGAAACTCCAGTGTACAAACCGGGCATGGTGACCCACACCTGTAATCCCAGTACTCAAGAGGTAGAGGCAGGAGGATCAGGTCAAGTCCAGTTATATATCAAGTTCTGGGCCAGCATGGGTTACCTGAGTGAGACCTGCCCTGCTCCTCAAAAGAATCCTCCATTGTGCATATGTCCCATGTTTTCTTTATCCACATCTACTGGTGGCCATCTTGGCTGGTTCCATATCTTTTTTTTTTTTTTTTAAGATTTATTTATTTATTATGTATACAATATTCCTCCTGCATGTATGCCTGCAGGCCAGAAGAGGGCACCAGATCTCATTACAGATGGTTGTGAGCCACCATGTGGCTGCTGGGAATTGAACTCAGGACCTCTGGAAAAGTAGCCAGTGCTCTTAACTGCTGAGCCCTCTCTCCAGCCCTCCATATCTTGTCTACTGTAAATAATACAATAAACAAGGGTGTGTAGGTATCTCCATGGCTTGTTGACATAGATTCTAGAAGCAGTGTAGCTGAATCACATGGAAATTCCCTTTTTAGTTGTTTCAGGCACTGCATGTTGACATCCATATTATTTCCCATTATATCCGTCTGCCTTAGTTAGGGTTTCTATTACTGTGAAGAGACACCACTACCAGGGCAACTCTCCTAAAGAAAAATATTTAATTTGGGTGGCTCATATTTTTAGAGGTTTAGTCCATTATCATCATGGTGCAACATGTTGGTGTGCAGGCAAGCATGGTGCTGGAGAAGTAGCTGAGCAACTCATAGGCAACAGCAAGTGATCTGAGACACTGGGTGTGGCTTGAGCATATATGAGACCTCAAAGCCCACCCCCACTGTGACACACTTCCTCCAACAAGGCCACATCTACTCCAACAAAGCCATACCTCCTAATAGTGCCACTCCCTATGAGCTTATGGGGTCTAATTGCATTCAAACTACAACATCTTTGCCAGCATCTGTTGTTTTCCTGGTGAAGCCCTGCTGTCTTTGCTGAGATATAATCTCAGTGTTCTGATCTGTACTTCCTTGAGGGCAAAGTTCAGCTAATACATTCTTTCACATAGTAAATTTTAAAAAGTTCTTTCATTTTGAATTGTATGTCTGTATGCGTGGGTATGTGCATATAAGTGCAAACTATGGAGGTCTTAAGAGAGTGTTGGATTCCTTGGAAGTGAAGCTAAAGACAGTTGTGA